CCCCTGAATTTTATTCGGATACCAGTGACGTCACATCTTCAGTTAATGTCGTATGACCTTTCGTCGGCCCAAAAGAGGCCGTAAAATCTGATCACAAGTGACATCACACACAGTCGAATGCCAGTGACGTCACATCATTAGGGTATGCTTTACGGCCCTCAGTTGGCCCCCAAAGATCCATAAAAATGCATGACCAGTGACGTCACACACCCACGTGATTTGGTAGCTTTTATTCATCACGCCAGTGCTTACAGTAGACAGGTACGAAGGTAAAAATGAAGCATGACCTGTTGCGACCAATATTTGGTCGAAAATCAGTGATGTCACGATACCCGGTGATATTTCACGGAACATGATACACCGCGGCCGTAGGGCCTAAGTGCACTCGTATCAAGTGATGATTAGTGACGTCACACATTCAGGTGATTCGGTCAAGCTTTTATTCGGCACGCAAATTCTTGCAGCAGACAGGTACGAAAGGTAAAGATGGAATAAGGCCTGTTGCGCCTGATGTTTCATTGAATACCAGCGACGACATATCGTCAGGTGATGCTTTACGGCATTCGTTGCACCCAAAAGAGCCCTAAAGCATCACAACCAGTGACGTCACATATCCAGTCGAATACCAGTGACATCATATCGCTAGCAAATGCCTTGTAGCCTTCAGTCGGCCCAAAAGAACCCCGATGGATGCAAACCCATTTTCAGTGACGTCACCACGTCGGCTGATACCTAACAGCATTTCTCCATCACGGCAGTACAGGAACCCTGCAGCCAGCGTAGCTCTCTCCCCACCGTCGGCAATACAGGTACCCAAGTAAAAAAAAGCTATAGTTGCCTGGGTTTGGAGAGGTCGGGCTTGCAAGATGTTGACATTGTAACCTATTATGCTAGTTGGAACAAGCTGTCTCCATTGGAATGTTCACAACTGCTTGATCATGTTCTCATGTAACTGGAGATGTTTTGAACTTCCAGGTGAACCATGGAATCTCTGCTATTATCTGAATTTGTTAATACAACTGGTGCTGAACCTGGTCTGGCCAGAGATTTATTAGAAGGTGAGCATGATATAACAAGACACTTGCAAGTCATTTCAGACTGTTGTCCTGGATTGGCTGGAATACTGAAATGTCCTAGGCTGTTGAAAAGCCTATGTATGTAGAGGTCATGCATAATGGCAGTACTATGTAGTTGTAAGCTTAGTTGCAGCACAAAGCTATGGATCACATTACTCTACGTAATGTACTGTCTAGCCTTTTTCTTTGTGCTGCACTTCTATCATTGGTAGATATAAGTGAAGAAGCCCTTGTACACCATATTTAAAGATATTGACATCACAAGTTTTGGCCCCAGCTGCTCAGAATGTATATTTCTAAATCATTGTCTGCATATACATATTTGGATCACACTTTGTGGTAGGTACAATTCTCTGTTGTGTCTTTCCATGCACTGGCATTTGATGATATATCCGTGGGAATGCAATTTGTGGTTCAACTATATTTTTGTTCACAATTTGCATTGCATTTCTTTGTAACCACACTGCTTTTTGTGAAATCATGTATGTGCAAAATTTTTGGTAAGCTGTCCGTCACATTTATGAAATGTTGCACATCCATGGAATTATTCCTGTGTTACAGCATGGAAAAAAGTGCACCGGCTGGCTTGCAGTATGCTTGCATATTATGAAGGAAATTTTAGTCTTTGAGTGGTAGTTGATTAATACTGCTTTATTAGAAGGCATATAAGCTGTCTAAAGCTGTTAAGGGATTATAGGCATGATTGATCTCACTTGTGATACAGAAGATCTGATTGTCATTGATAGCTCATTGCATCAACTCACAAATATTGCCACTTGCACCAGCACATGCATGAATGTTCTGACACACTGAAATTCAGGGGTATGGGGAATGTGTAAAACATTGCTATAGGGCTGGGAGGAGGTCAGTGATCACCTCTTGGTAAATGATGCAGTTGATGCACAGTTCAGGTATGGTGGAATGCTGCCATCATGACCACTATTAATATTTTTAGCATTATGAACAGCTTGGTCTGTACCCCAGCTGTCAACCTGAGTAGGACTGTTGATGGGTGTGGCCATTATGGCCAAAGTAAAAATGCAACATAGTATTGTGGCTGCTTATATACTAGCATACCTTTAGACAAGTATGATGTAACAGGTATCTTGAAAAGTATCATGTGTATGTAAGTTTGTCACAGGAACTGTGATGCATTTTAGTTGTTCCTCACAGATGCATGGTTATATCAGCAGGTGCAAATTTTCTTTAACATGGAATGGCAAGATTGGTGTAAGGAGGTTGCCAGCATTCACCCTTATTTACGCAATAATATCAACATGGAAACATTTCTGATCAGTCTGTTGAAGATGCATCTAAAGAACTGGTTGTAGGTCATCAAATACATTTCCAATCTAGTATAAAAATAATTATGTTCGAGAATGTTTTTGTTGCAGACCAAGGCGAATATGAAGATATACCATGCGGGTAGTTGTGCATTATAAAGATACAGAACATGGAGCATAGTTTCTGCATGGGTGTGCAATTGAAAAGCTGTTAATGCAAAGATGAGATACAGATAATTGTGAACATGCAACCAGTACTGCACAAAATATATTGACAGTGATGTGTTTCAAAGAATGGCATATCTAAAGCAATGTGATCTGGAGCCTGACATGTGCTGAAAAATTCCATGAGATAAATTGTGCATGGCAAGGATTGGACTTGCAAATATATATGATCCATTGATTGCATCCAGGAATAAATGTGATATGAGGACATGTGTACACAAAGCCCAAACTACATAACTTTGCACATACAAGTATCTGGAAACAAAAATTTCCTTGTGATAATAAGCAAAAATATGCATGTGAAAGCATTTCAGACAGAAATATTTGATACCCATGAAATAATGAATGTGATGTGCAAAAATGACAGAAGTTTTTCCCTGCCAAACATGTCAGGTGTGAATTGTTCACTGGACACCATGTGGATGCTACCCAGACACTTCTTGTCAGGAGCAAGGGTCATTCTCTTCAGTTCATGCAGCAAAAAGTTTCTGCTGTGATTATCCTGTCTGCAAAATTGTCAGTGTGATCTTGTCTTTCAGACCAGCGCTGGGACCTGCAGGCAGCGATACAGGCATTTGACTACCTGCAGGGCCTGGTGCCAGCTCCTCTGCCACCTGCTGCTCGGGCCGCTGATGGCCAGACAGCCGGCAACGGCGCCGCCAAGCTGCAGCGCGCCCTGGCTGTTGAGATGCCTCCTGCAGGTACGACACAGCTTTATCCTGCTCTAACTGTCTTGCTCTCGCTCTGACTTTCTTGCTCCTGCTTTGACTTTCTTGCTCCTGCTCTTAATTTCTCACTCCTGCTGACTTTCTTGCTCCTGCTCTGACTTTCTTGCTCCTGCTCTGACTTTCTTGCTCCTGTTCAGACTTTTTCTCTCCTGCTCTGACTTTTCTCATGTTCTGACTTTCTACCTCCTGCTCTGACTTTCTCTCCCCTGGTCTGAATTTCCCCCCTGGTTTGACTTGTTTTCCCCTCATCTGACTTTTTCTCCCCTGTTCCTGACTTTTCCCCCCCTGTTCCTGACTTTTCCCCTGGTCTGACTTCCTCTCCCCTGGTCTGACTTCCTCTCCCCTGGTCTGACTTCCTCTTTCCTGCTCTCTTGTGCTCTGTCCTGCTCTCTTGTGCTCTGTCCTGCTATCTTGTACTCTGTCCTGCTATCTTGTACTCTGTCCTGCTCTCTTGTGCTCTGTCCTGCTCTCTTGTGCTCTGTCCTGCTCTCTTGTGCTCTGTCCTGCTCTTTTGTCCCTCTCTCTCCCTATCTCTCCCTATCTCTCCCTCTCTCTCCCTATCTCTCCCTCTCTCTCCCTATCTCTCCCTCTCTCTCCCTCTCTTCTCCCTCTCTCACTATATCTACCTATCTCTCCCTATCTCTCCTCTCTCTCACTATCTCTCCCTCACTCTCCCTATCTCTCCCTCTCTCTCTCTCTTCTCCCTCTCTCTCTCTCCCTCGCTACCTCCCTCTCTCTCTCTCCCTCTCTTCCCCTCTCATTCTCTCCCTCTCTCTATCCCTCCTCTATCTCCTCCCTCTCTCTATCCCTCTCTCTCTTCTCTCCCTCTTCTCTCTCCCTCTCTCTCTCTCCCTGTCTGTCGTATGATCTTGTTCTGGCTGTTGTCTGTCTGTTCTGTCTGTCTGTCTGTCTGTATAGTCTGTCTGTTTGTCTCGTTCTCTGTCTATGTCTCGGTCTCTGTCTCTGTATCTGTCTCTGTCGCTGTCTCTGTCTCTGTCTCGTCTCTGTCTTGGTCTCTGTATCTGTCTCTGTCGTCTGTCTCTGTCTCTGTCTCTGTCTCTGTCTCTGTCTCTGTCTCTGTCTCTGTCTCTGTCTCTGTCTCTGTCTCTGTCTCTGTCTCTGTCTCTGTCTCTGTCCTGTCTCTGTCTCTGTCTCTGTCTCTGTCTCTGTCTCTGTCTCTGTCTCTGTCTCTGTCTCTGTCTCTGTCTCTGTCTCTGTCTCTGTCTCTGTCTCTGTCTCTGTCTTCTGTCTCTGTCTCTGTCTCTGTCTCTGTCTCTGTCTCTGTCTCTGTCTCTGTCTGTCTCTGTCTCTGTCTGTCTCTCTCTCTGTCTCTGTCTCTGTCTCTGTCTCTGTCTCTGTCTCTGTCTCTGTCTCTGTCTCTGTCTCTGTCTCTGTCTCTGTCTCTGTCTCTGTCTCTGTCTCTGTCTCTGTCTCTGTCTCTGTCTCTGTCTCTGTCTCTGTCTCTGTCTCTGTCTCTGTCTCTGTCTCTGTCTCTGTCTCTGTCTCTGTCTCTGTCTCTGTCTCTGTCTCTGTCTCTGTCTCTGTCTCTGTCTCTGTCTCTGTCTCTGTCTCTTCTCTCTCTCTCTCTCTCTCTCTCTCTCTCTCTCTCTCTCTCTCTCTCTCTCTCTCTCTCTCTCTCTCTCTCTCTCTCTCTCTCCCCTGATCTTACCATTATATTTTAATTTTCATCTTTTGATCATTGTGTTCTGACCCTGGTTCTGATTCCTTTTCAGATGTTAGCTCTCTGACAGCAACTCTCATGTTTTGACTCCCCAGTGCTGACTCACCTGTGCTGTTTCTATTGTTCTGACTCCCTTGTTGTGTCCCTCCTGTATTGCCTTTCCTGTTCAGTGTCTCCTGTTCTGACTTCCCTGTTCTTACTCTTCTTTTCTGACACCTGTTTTGACCCCCTGTTATGACTTTCTTTTTCTAACTCTCCTGTTCTGACTGTTCTGTTCTGACTGTTCTAACTCTCCTCTTCTGTTTTTCTCCTCTCCTGTTCTCTTCGGTTTCTCGCTCTTCGTGGCGTGTTTGGCGTTTCGCATTTTGTGGCATTGTTGGACTGTTATCATGATCTGTTATCTTGGCGGTGGGGCGTGTGAGCACAGCATCGTCGCGCGGATGGGCTGAAATGGACGAGAGCAACTGGCACGAACCCTCCAGACGGCGCCGTCGCCGCCGCGCGTGCGGTGCCTTTCTGAACGCTGTTTCCGCGCGCGGCACAGACCACAAGCTCGGCCGTGGCATCTCGCGCGCCACCGACAACGTGCGTCTGGTGTCGGAGGCGCGCTCTACGCTTGCAAGGGGAGGCCTGAGCGGGCCGCCAGCGGCCGGCCAGCTGGACGAGGCGCCCGACCACACCTTCCTGCTGCCGGACACCGCCCGCTTCGAGGGTGAGTGCCGCGCCGGAGGCCGGGGCCGTCCCGCTCGCAGCCGACGCCAGCAATCCGGTCACGCTCCCGACGTCGTCCGCTTCGTGTACGCACCGCAGGCTGTCAACACCAGCTGCTTACGGACAAATGCTGACTCCACTGTGATGCATCTATGGAGCGTCTGGGCCTGGGGCATGGCAGAGCCAACATGAATCATAACGATCCCTGGTCGCTTGTGCTGAATGGAGGATAACACAGGAAGATGAGGATGGTGAGGATGATGATATAGAGTAATGTCGTAGCTCGTACAATTCTGTGCATCCTTGCGTTGGCAGTCGGAACAGCGGCCGAGCAGCCGGCCGCCCACTGACCCGCTGCATGCCGCACTGCACGTATACAGCGGCCCAGTGCATGTCGCATCAGACCCGCACGCTCACACGCCCGCCCGCGCACTCGCACGCCTCCCGCGCGCCCGCCCGCCCGCACGTCAGCCCGCACACTCACAGGTCCGCCCGCGCGCTCACACGCCTGCCCGCGCGCTCACACGCTCGCACACTCGCACGCTCGCACTCACACACGCACGCACACACACACTCACGCACGCACGCACGCAGACGACGCGCAGCACTCGCCCGTCCGTTTTCAGGTGTGGCAGCTCAGCATCGGTGAACCGCGCGATAGGTCTCCGGTTACGAATGGCTTTTTGACGCCATTGTCAGCGTGGAGAGCGGTTTGACGTCAGCGACATTGTGTCGTGGATACGCCCGGGGTTCTCTGCCGGCATCAATCATCGGGGCGTATGCGGTCAGCATTGGTGTGGAGTGTCCCCATCCCCTTCCCGGTGTACGTTCAGCAGACGACCTAGCTCAGTGGTTCGATATGTCAGTCATGCTGGACTGACTGACGGTAAAGCTGGTGCTTATTCGGCGAGTTCGGCGGGGGGGGGGGGGAACTCAAGGATAAGGGGAAGTGGGCGGAAAGGTAAGAAGAAGGAGAGGAGAAAGGAAAAAAAAATTGGCGTAGGTGACAGGACAACTCCCAAATACCAATTTGATAGGTGTTTCAGCCCACAAAGTCATCTGTATCACCCTGGTTTTGCTGTTTGAAATCGCGTGTATGACTGGCAGGTATCGGACCCTGTCGCGCCCGGCGATTCTAAATGAGTTCCCCGGCGCAGGCTACTGACTGAATTTGACTTTGTTTCTTGTTCGCGGGTGGGTACAGGGGTGGGCTTTTCAGTTGCTGGCGGCAGCAGGCATGTGATACTGCGCCGGCAACAGAGAAACTCGACCGCAGGGCGGGACTGCGGCGACACAGTCCTATGCAAACGAGACGATGCTGGCGGTCCCGCCCTTGGAAAATGCAGTCGTAACTGAAGTTGACCTGGCGTTATGGCATGACTTTGGTCTAGACTAATCGTAGTGACCGGACAGAATCTTTACATTACGTTTAAACTGTTATGTAGAAGGCATGTCGCCATCATTATCGACATGATGGGAGCGCTTCGCGAATTGTAAACCGCATTTGTGAGGAACATTATGCGTATAGCTAAAACAGCATTAATAGCTTTATTCCTCAAAGAATAAATAGGAAAATGGAGAGATAAACGCCATATTTCGGCTCCATGCGTTTATCGAAAAGAATATTGGTAGCAAATTCAAATTTGTCTGCCGATTTCACTCGACGTTTCAGTTTTTTCCTTCAAAAACAGCTAGCCACAGTTGTACAGACCACCAACATGCAGGGAATTAAACAAGGAGGAATTGCGGGTCATTTCTGCGGTACAGTGCACATCTAACTGAGAATTAAAATGCGCGAAAAATACCTGTATATCGCAAATGAATTCAAGCTAACAGGTGTCGCGCATAACACATCGTTTACTTCCGCAAGCGATCTCAAGTAAACAGGCGTGTCGCATCACGCATCACGTTTATATGCAAACGATTTCAATTAAACGGACATCGTGTATCAAGCATCAGACAACACTGATACATGAAGGCGATTTCAAGCCAGCATGCATAACACATCAAGACGCTAGTCACATTCAAATAATCGTTCATGATGACTCCTGTACATTGAAGTCTGGTCGCCAACTTCTTATAAAAATAGATTCACCATTTTTCCTGTCTTGATGGTCCCTTGCTTTGAAGATGCCTTTGAGCTCTAAAAGGAAATGGTCCGTACTTCCTTGAATTTTGACATTAGCGTGTTCTGTAAAAAAGATGGTCGCCGAAGAGTTCTTTTTATTATCTGTTTCGTTTTTAGCATCTGGCAGGTGTTCATCACAAATGAAACGAGTAGGACGCATGGGCTTCTCAACATAGTCTATGTGCCTCCCACGTTTTTCGCGCAGTTTGTGCTGGAATTCATAAACCACATTTCTTCGCGTGCAAACCCCCTATGACCCAGGCATGCATATATGACACCTATCGCACCCCGGGCACTTATGCTTCGAGACAGTATATTTAATTTAGAGCTTTTTTGGCTCCTCTAAGCTATCCGTAAGCGCGGTTTTGAGCTTGTAAGAATATGTTGAATTTTCCAGAGCGAGCGTTCATCTATGTCAGGTAGTGTTAAACCAACTTATTTACCCAAGTCAGCCTTTACAATGGACCATACAGAAAGGGGGTCCGCATTTGGATACACTAGTGACAGCAGAAAAGAGGAACAATCGTACAACGTTGGAAACAGAGCTGTGATCAAGCTTACCAACTCTGGCATGATTCTGCACTGCGAATCTGTGCACCCAACTTCCACTAAACACAATATAATTAAAAATACACTCCATATGGCTCTAAGCAACTTATCAAGCAGTGAAAAATACGGAAGGAGCATGAAAAATATGGACTTAGCTGTTGGACAATGGATATTCTCCACGACCTTTAGGCTGAATGTTGGAAGAGATCAAAGCATCTAGAGCATGTCGGGGATGTATGGTAGGAAACGGGAGCACGCCCGTCAACCGAAGGACTCTTAACACTAATTTACACAGATGAGCACTTGCTTTTGAAAATCAAACATATCGTCAGGAAATCGAAACTGCGCGTACGCATGGCTTGGACGAACAAGAAACTAAAATAATTCTAAGGTGAAATATCCTATCTCGAAGCCTAAGTGCCCGAGGGGCAATGAATGCTGCTTATGCAAGCCTGGCTTTAAGGGGTTTGCACGAAAAACAGCGGGGTTTATGAAATTAACGCGTGCCCGGGTGACCGGTTCAGTACCCTTCGCTCGGGTGGAGAGGGAGGGGGGGGGGGATGTAATTTCATCCGCTGAGACCTCAGGAACTAAGAGGGCTAGAGACGCTAAATTCATAGGGTGTGTTGACCTGTACGTGAACTCACTTAGGTTGAAGTTCGAGGTTTCTAGTTCATGATCTCTGGATTAAATAAGGTCAAACAAGGCCAAATTCCAGGTTAGTCTCCAAGGGCCTCTGGAACCTAGATAGCTGTATTAAGCAAAAGGTTACATGTTCATTTGAGATCAGTAGTGTTGTTTGACCTTGTGAAAGTCATGGCGACCAAAATCATACAAGACTCCTTTGAGTTTTGCAGTTGGATAAGTGACAAAGATTACGCTAGGCGGTATGCTGCTGAAAACAAAGTGTTGACCTGGGTCACTTTAGATCAGTGACTTATTCTGACATTTAAGAAGGCCATGAAAGGTGCAAAATGTGGTTTCTGTCATCAGCAAATTTGAAATGAGCACCAGAAACTACCCCATACAGCAAGCCCTAGAGTAATAAAAAGGGTTGGTCCTGACCGTGGTCTGACCTCAACACCTGGCCCTAGTTCAATCTAATTTTATTCAGTTGTTGTGTATCCTAACAAAGTATGTCAGAAATGTATGGCTTCGTTTAACACTCCGTTGTTGGACCAGACTGAACGATTCCCGAAAAAAATTGCCTTCGATGAAACCATGACCTAACTCTCACCTGCCATACATCCGTGGCCTTACATAGTGCATCTAAATGTTTGATGGCAGACGATCCGCTCTTTAGTTGTCTACAGCTATGCAAAATTTGGCGCGGCTACGCCTTGCCATTCCGAAATCATTTCAGAAAATTTTCGGGGTGGGGTCAGTTTGACCCCCACCCGAGCGCGTGTCAAGTCTAAACTTTGTGAAAAAAGCAGAAGTGATGTCGGTGTCGGGAAGTCCTTGCACCTTACTGGTTTGATATAAAATAAACATCTGCGAGATGCCAATATAAAAACAGATAATACCATCTTTGGCGATCTTTTTTGGACAAAACACGCTCGGCTGAAATCCAGGGGATACGGACCCTCCACCCCTTTTAGAGCTCAGGCCCCTCGAGCAAATGGAAAGAACCCGATACTTATATGATGGGCCCCTGAGCAACTGAGTATACCCTGGCGTATAACGCCCCGGAAAAGCGTACAGAGCCTTTCGGGAAAACGGGAGAAATCCGTGGAGGAAAACCTGATCGATCAAGAGCGCTCAGGCATAGAAGCAGATGGCGTCCGAAGAGCGGCATTGGGCCCCACGAGGAAATGCAAAGATATTAAGGGCAACGTAAAATGCTCCGTAGCGATCAGACTGACCCGGCAAGTGAACATATGGGGTCCAGGCAACAGCGCTGTGTCTCTGGACACCGTAATCAACCCCAAAATTTCCCCAAGCAACGCCTTCTCAATCAGCAAAGAAGTAACTTTATCTGCTCATAAAATCATTACTTTTGCCAGTAACCGTTCTTGGTCGTCTGTAGGCCCAAAGACGTCCAATTGAGTTGCATGTAACGTTTTGTTAGAAAACTGCGTCCGGTCGGCCAGTTGTGGGTCCCTTGGAAGCCTATAGGTCCCTCGGCATGGTTCATGGGGGGGGGGGGGGGGGCATGATCCTGTACCTACCCCTCCTCGTCTGTATCCACCACCGGCTCCAGCAGCTGAATAGGGAAAAGCAGCAGGTCCGTCAAGAACATAGGACAATCCATTCATCTAAGAAGTAACCAAAACACAGCATGGAGAGCCTCGGAACGATCGAGTGTGCCCAAACAGGTAATAGATGGGGCCCCCGACAGAAGCGCTTGGCCAGTTTCCGAGCAGGTTGTTACATCGGGCCCCCGTCAAGAGCTCAGGGACCTCCATTCAAATAGAAAGTCCTCAAGACCCAACGAAGAGGGCCGCCGAAAGATAAAGTGTGTCCTAGCGTCTTAATAGATGGGGCTTCTAACAAGAGCGTAGGGCCCTCCATTCAAATAGGAAGCACTCAAGACCCAATGCAGATGGCCTCCGAACGATAAAATGCACCCCTACAGCTTATCAGAAGAGGTCCGACAAGAGCGTAAGGCCATCCATTCAAATAAGAAGTATCCAAACCCTGCGCAAAGGGCCCCCGAAATATGGGGTGTACCCGAGCAGATTACCAGACGGTCTCCGGCAGGAGTGCAGCGCCCTAAATTCGAAGGAAGTGAAAAGATGGGGCCGCCGACAAGAGCGTGGGGTCATCCATTCAAATGTGAAATACCAACGGTACGATGTAGAGGGCTCCGAATAATCGAGGGCGCCCGAGAATGTTAACAGATAGGGTCTCGTGACCTCGTAACGCGTGAAGACCGCCCCTCAAAAAGCAAGTACCCAAGACTCGACGTAGAGGTCGCCTAACAATCGGATGCACCGGAGCGGCTTATCAGAATGGGCCGCGACAAGAACGCAACAAGAGAACATTCAAATAAGTCGTGCCGAAAGCCATGTGCAAAGGGCCCCCGAAAGATGGAGTGCCTCAAACAGATTATCCGATGGACCCTGATAAGAGTGCAGGGCCCTAAATTCAAACAGCGGAACCCAGTGTGCAGGGTCCCCGACCAATCCAGAGTGGCCGAACAGTGAGGCGAACAGAGAGGGCCCCCGATAAGTGCGTGGACCCACCGTTCAAAAAAGGATGACCCGGTGTACAGTCCCTCCGAGTGATCAAATGTGCCTGAGCATGCTAGCGGATGGGCCCCCGACAAGAGCGTAGGGCCTTCATTCAAATAAAACGTACCCCAAACCTAGTGTGGAGCGCCCCCCCCCCCCAAAAAAAAAGATCGAGTGTATTTGAGCAAGCTATCAGATGGCCCCCGATAAGAGCGTAGGGGCCTACATTAAACTCTTCAATGTGCAGGTCCCTCAAACAATGCAGAGTGCCTAAGCAGGTTAACAGATGGGACCCTGACAGGTGCGTGGGGTCTTTCGTTCAAATATGAAAAACCACGACATGGGACCCCCAATGATCGAATGCGCCAGAGCATGCTAGCAGATAGGGCCCCCGTCAAGAGCGTTGGGCCTCCATTCAAATCGAAAGTACCCAAGACCAGACGCAGAGGTCCCCTAACAATCGAACGTGCCCGGGCGCCTTATCAGAAAGAGCCGCAACAAGAGCATAGAGCGTAGGTCCCTCCATTGAAGTAACAAGTGCCCAAAACCCAGTGCGGAGTGCCCCCGAAAGATGGAGTGTATCCGAGCAGGTTATCAGATGGCCCCGATAGGACCGCGGGGCCCTAAGTTCAAACGCCAAGACTCAATGTGCAGGGCTCTCGGACAATCCACTTTGGCCGAAAAAGTTAACAGAGGGGACCCCAGACACGTGCGTAGGGCCCCCATTCAAATAGGGCTTCCCAAGACCCAATATAGAGGGCCCCCGAAAGATCGAGTGTATCCGAGCAGGCTATCAGATGGCCTTGACAAGAGCGTAGGTCCCTACATTAAAATACCCGGTGTGTCGGACCCCTAAACAATCCGTTGTGCCAGATCAGGTTAACAGATGAGGCCCCGACAAGTGTGCAGGGCCCTCCATTCAAATGGAAAGTACCCTGGACCCAGTTTCGAGGGCCCCGATCGACAGAGTGTGCATAAGCAGGTTAACAGATGAGCCTCCGACAAGAGCGTAGGGCCCTAAGCAAGTGGCATAAAATTGGAAGCGCCCTAGACCAATGCAGAGGGCCCATGAGCATATCGCAAGTGTGTCGGTTGGTGAACCGAAACCAACGTAAAGGGCCCCCGAGCCACCGAGAACACCCGAGCAAATTAACATGGGGCCCTGCAATAGTCCACAGAGGCTTCCTGGCGGCTGGAAAGAATCCGTGGAAGGCATCTGATTGACAAGAGCGCCCCGGCACGCTAGCAGGAAGAGCACAGAAACAGTGCAGGGCGCTCCGAGCAAACGCAAAGCATTCAGAGCTAACGTGGAAGGCTCCTTAACGATCGAAATGACCTTGCAAGTGGGCATATAGGTCCCCCGGAAGCAGGATAGGACCCTGGACAGCGTGATAAGGCTAATGATTTCCAATTAACAACTTTTTTCATTATTGAAGATTTTTTTATCTTTTCTTGCAGGCCATTCACTTTCGTTTGCAACTGTTCTCGGTGGCCTGGAAATCCAAAGAAATTTTGTTGTGTTTTGTGTTTAAAAAACTGTATCTGTTCGGTCAACTATGGGCCCATTCGGAGCCTATGGGTCACTTCGGGGTACCACGGGGGATCATGGGCCCCGTGACCGCCCTCTCTGGATCCGCCCCTGACTCAATCAGTGGTGGAGGTTGGTGCGGGGTGAAGCACAGTAGCCACGTGCCAACAATTAAAGGGCCAGACGGAGATCACAATGCCGCTGACTTGTATTGGTGCAGAAATGTGACATGCACTATCATATAAATACCTGTAGAATTACGTTCAGGCACAGCGGCCACGCGGTAACAAAGGGCCAGGTGGAGATCACAATGCCGCTGACTTGTATTGGTGCAGAAATGTGGCATGCACTATCATATAAATACCGGTAGAATTGCGTTCTCTGTTTCAGTTACACCTTGCAACACATACAACTAAAATGAAGAACACCAAGCCACCGGAAACAAAGTGGTTGAAATCCGGTTATTTTTGTTTCGAGCGAGGCTCTTCTAGGCGACGTCGTTCACATCACAACCTGCCAGGTCGTAGGTACCGGTTAGACTTCGGCCCCGGCTAAATACAAGGAGGGTATGTCCAGAGCCGACGATATTGGCGGAAAGGCCGAATGCCCGCGTGAGCTCTCATCATGACCGGCATCTGACCGTATAATGAAATTGATAATGGCTGAGCTTTGCTTAGCATGAACATCTCACAACTGCTTACATGCCTATGAACTGCTCCAGAAAATCCAATGCAAGCATGCAAAGTGGGCCCAAATGTAAGCCGGCCGCCGTCCCAGGAATCGAACCCGCCACCCACCCGTTACGAACTTAACACCATCGCGCGGCGCCAGGCATCCTCGCGCACCTAAATGTCGAGATATCTATCCAAAGAAAAACTATGCCAGCGATGCCCACTGCGGATTGGAGGTGCCAGCTCGCCGGCGGTTCAAATTTGCGAGGTGTGATTTGCGGAGAGCTTGCGAAGGCCGCTAGTTATTGGCTTGTGCGAGCTGCACCGGGCCCAGTACTAGTTCTGGATGTTGATTGGCGGAGAACGCGTGCGATTGGTGGCTTGTGTTTGGCGGAGAGGCGGCTTGGAATTTGCCATCGAAGCGTCTGCAGCCGGCGCCATCTAGCGGTGCCTGCTGTGTGTTTTATAAGCCCGTGGTGGCTTCGTCAAAAGTTCAGGTCGTTATTAGTTTCGTTGCTGACCAGTAGCATCACAAAATCAACCGTTGGTCGATAGCGAACTTTCACTGCGTTCCCAGTCCGTGTTACGCGCACATACATAACGTTCGACATGTGCGTGTGCGTGTGCGTGTGCGTGTGTGTTCAAAAATTCACATTCAAGTGGAGACCAACAATTGAATTGTTTGCCCTGAGACCGTCACTCGGCGCCCGCGCCATGCAGTACACAATGGTACAGTCTGGGGGTGGCGACCCCCGGTCCAGCTGGTGCCGCCATATGCTGCGCTGTTTCTGCGCGGCTGCCGCCGGCGCCTTTGCCGTCCAGCGCTCGGTCCTGTGTGTGGCGGGCCGCAGCTGATGTCTCGTCCCTGCCGCCCTGTCAGAGGGCTTCCGGTGCTTCGTGGAGGACGACCTGGTGGACCGGGCCACGCTCGTGTCGCTGGAGCAGGCCGGGCGGCTCAACTGGTGGGCGCGGGCTGGCGTCTGCCCTCCGCTCTGGCCACTCACCACCTCAGGTGGGTGTTAGCCGGTCCGTCACACCGGGGGTCATCTACTCACCGCTCTGGCCACTCACCACCTCAGGTGGGTGTTGGCTGGTCCCTCACGCTGGGGTCATCTGCCCACCGCTCCGGCCACTCACCACCTCAGGTGGGTGTTAGCTGGTCCCTCACGCTGGGGTCATCTGCCCTCCGCTCTGGCCACTCACCACCTCAGGTGGGTGTTAGCCGGTCAGTCACACCGAGGGTCATCTGTCCGCCGCGCTGGCCTCTCACCAGTGCACTCCTGGTAAAGAGGCGTGGGGCGGAGGAGGAGCTCAATTCCCCACACGCTGCGTCCACAGGTCGTCCATGGAGGTTAAGAACTATTGCAAGGGATGCACGTGGCCCATGAAAGCCTGCCCAGCTGTGGCCGGTGCGGTGCGGTGCGGCGCGGCCGTGAGACAGGTCTGACCGTCTGCCCAGCTGGTCTGCCCAGCTGTGGCCGGTGCGGTGCGTTGCGGCGCGGCCGTGAGACAGGTCTGACCGTCTGCCCAGCTGGTCTGCCCAGCTGTGGCCAGTGCGGTGCGTGGCGGCGCGGCCGTGAGACAGGTCTGACCGTCTGCCCAGCTGGTCTGCCCAGCTGTGGCCGGTGCGGTGCGTGGCGGCGCGGCCGTGAGACAGGTCTGACCGTCTGCCCAGCTGGTCTGCCCAGCTGTGGCCGGTGCGGTGCGTTGCGGCGCGGCCGTGAGACAGGTCTGACCGTGTGGCCGCCTGGCCAGGTGACGGCAACTGTCTGCTGCACGCCGCCAGCCTGGGTATGTGGGGCTTCCACGACCGGCTGCTGACGCTGCGGAAGGCGCTGCGGCCGTGCATGACGTCCGGGCCCCACGTGGCCGCCTTCCGACGCCGCTGGAGGTGGCAGGTGGCCCAGCAGAACACCGAAGCAGGTCAGCAGGCAGACGGAGCCCGACTGGCACGCCTCTCGTTGCTGGCGCGCGGTCCTGGAAGCGGCCGGGTGCTTCCACTACGCGGGTTGGTCTGTCTGTCTTTAACCCGAGAGAGATGACCATTTTAGAAGCGTGTGAATTTTAAGGGCGTGCCAACCGCAGAGCTTATTTGCGCCTGACGTAGGTGTTCTTGTGAAGCTTATGTCATAAATCAAGCAAGGTTGTGCCGAGGTCGCTCGTTGCGTGTTCAGTGATCACATCAGGTCTCCATGGCGAATGCGATTGGCACAGTGCCTAGCGTATGTGTGAAGCTGGGTCGGCCTACTGTAACCGTACGTTGCAGGTCTGGTCTATTCTGAGGAAGAATGGGAGAGGGAGTGGGTGAACGTGATCACACTGTCGTCCAGCGATCCACGCCAGAACGGCCTGGAAGGCTCCCAGTAAGTACTCAAGAGGTGAACTCCGCCCAGTAAGTGCTTTTGCCGCTGCCGCTGCCTGCTGCAAGTGCCTCCCAGATTGGACGCTGCCCATCAGGTACCCCGGCCGTCGGTGCTGCCCATCAGGTATGCCGGCCATCGGTGCTCCCCATCAGGTACGCCAGCCGTCGGTGCTGCCCATTAGGTATCCGGTCGTCTGTGCTGCCTATCAGGTATGCCGGCCGTCGGTGCTGCCCATCAGGTATGTCGGCCGTCGGTGCTGCCCACCAGGTATGTCGGCCGTCGGTGCTGCCCACCAGGTATGCCGGCCGTCGGTGCTGCCCATCAGGTATGCCGGCCGTCGGTGCTGCCCATCAGGTATGCCGGCCGTCGGTGCTGCCCATCAGGTATGCCGGCCGTCGGTGCTGCCCACCAGGTATGCCGGCCGTCGGTGCTCCCCATCAGGTATGCCGGCCGTCGGTGCTGCCCACCAGGTATGCCGGCCGTCGGTGCTCCCCATCAGGTATCCCGGTCTTCGGTGCTGCCCATCAGGTATCCCGGCCGTCGGTACCTCTCGTCAGGTATCCCGGCCGTCGGTGCTGCTCACTGGGTACTTCCGAAATAGACGCTCTCCAGTGTGTGCTTCCTGATGGTTATTACGACTGCTCGCCGCTATTGCTGGTTGCCAGGCATCCGTATAAGTGTTGTTTTGACTATCTCTTGAAAGTTCATAGTTCCCTTCATCTGGAACTATAAATAGTGCACGCTGAGCAGTTCGAGAGTAAAAACTGCTACCAAAGAAGCTTGACGGTCTGGTCTAGTGTTTGTTGGGGAGCAAAAGGAGATTAAGTGATGCCAAGAGCACTGGTACAGTCCAGCCACGACCCAGGTAACACGGCCACCGCAGCCGCCACCCCAGTGACACGGGCGATCCGGCCGTGATCTTGGGGTGACGCTGTCGCCTTACATATCGTTCATTGCCACCATTGTGTGTGGAGATCAGCTTACCGGTAATCACTGTTCATACGGTGATCGAGTCTCCGCTGTACCGCGACTATGGACGGGCTCTAGAGGTCCGCAGCACGTGTGATGGTATCGCGTGGCGCGCAGGGTACCGCTGCGACCATTTGGTACAGTTTGGTGCAGGCATGCTGGGTCTGTGGACGCGACCGTGTGGCGTGCGTCGGCGTCCTGCGCCTCCTGTCAGCCGGCGGTGCGGTGTCTGTTGCAGCGAGGAGGAGCCAGCCCGGCCCGACGCTTCTCTCTCCGTGTACGAGTCGCTGGAGGAGATCCACGTCCTGGTGCTGGCGCACATCCTGAGGCGACCCATCATCGTCATAGCGGACGTCACAATGAAGGTAGGCGGCGCTGGTGCCGACGGGGTCCGGCCGGCTGGCCGGCCGGGAGCCGTGAGGGCTGCCGACGCCGGCGGTAATGAACTGCACCGAGCCGGCACGGCCAGGCTCATGTTAACGACTAGGCTGCTCCGGGCTGAGTTGAGCTGGGCTGGGCTGGATTATGCTGGGCTGGGCTGGGCTGGGCTGGGCTGGGCTGGGCTGGGCTGGGCTGGGCTGGGCTGGGCTGGGCTGGGCTGGGCTGGGCTGGGCTGGGCTGGGCTGGGCTGGGCTGGGCTGGGCTGGGCTGGGCTGGGCTGGGCTGGGCTGGGCTGGGCTGGGCTGGGCTGGGCTGGGTTGGGCTGGGCTGGGCTGAGCTGAGCTGAGCTAGCTGAGCTGAGCTGAGCTGAGCTGAGCTGAGCTTAGCTGAGCTTAGCTGAGCTGAGCTCGATGGAGCTTAGTGGAGCTGAGCTGAGTTGAGATGACCGATATGAACCGGTGGTCCGGCCGGCAGGACGTACACGGCCAGCCGCTGGCGCCGATCCCGTTCGGCGGCGTGTACCTGCCGCTGGAGGTGCCGCCGGCTGACTGTCACTGCTCACCGCTGGCGCTCACCTTCGACGCCGGCCACTTCTCGGCGCTGGTGGCCATGGCGCCCGAGCCGGCCACCGACAGCGCCGCCGCCGAACCGGCCCGCTACGCCGCGCCAGGTTAGCCGCTATCACGATAACGCGGTCAGTCCAGCAGCGGTCACGATAACGCGGCCACTCCAGCCGCGGTCACGATAACACGACCACTCCAGCCGCCATCACGATAACGCGGCCACTCCAGCCGCGGTCACGATAACACGGCCACTCCAGCCGCCATCTCGATAACGCGGCCACTCCAGCCGCGATCCCAGTGACATCGCCCGGGCCACAATAACGCGGTGACGTTGCCGCCCTTGTCGTAATGCCTGTGATATGGTTACTGTAGCTCAGGACCGGATGACGGTTCTACTGAAGCTTTCACTCTGGCGACGCGTCTGTCATATCTCCGATCCTTTGAATAGTCTGCTGTAGCCCTGACCCTGGTGATGTATCTTTTGTAGCCCTTATCCTGGGGATGTAGCTGTTGTAGCCTTGATCCTGGTGATGGTCTGTCCACTGTTATTGCTCTGATCCTGGTAATGGATCTGTTATAGCTCTGATCTTGTTGATGGAACCGTTGTAGCTCTGATCTCGTAGATGGGTTTGCTATAGCTCTGATCCTAGTGATGTATCTGTCGAAGTCCTGACACGTCTGCCTTACGTGTGATCCTGGTGCCACGTCTGCTTCAGCCGTGATCCCGGTGACGGATGCGGACGGCGTGCTGCTGCCGATCCAGTTTGTTGTTGACCCGGGCCCAGAGGTGGCCTGGGAGAAGGACCAGGTGGACCCGGTGGTGCAGGCGCGACTCACGCTGCAGCCCCAGCACAAGCTGAGCCTGCTCCGCGAGTACCTGGACGTGGTGGAGCTGCCGCTGGACGGTTCCGCTTCTCCCCGACCGCCGCCTCGCTCGCCGCCGCCGGCCGCGCCGTCACCCCCGCCCCCGCCTCCGCCGCCGCCTCGGCCCCCGCCTCCGCCGCCGCCTCGGCCTCCGCCTCCGCCGCGGCCCGCCTCGGCCGCCGAGCTGCGGGACGGTGACGCTTGCTCTCGGCGGCCCGAGCCTAACCTGCAGCTGCAGACGGTGGTGCGACACATGGGCAGCATCGGCAAGTCGATGGGCAGGAAGATTCGTGACAACCTGGGCAGCCTGTCGCAGCGGATGGCGGTGACGCCGGGCCGGCGGGCCGCCTCAGCCGGTGACGTGCGGACGCGCGCCGCCGCCACCGCCCGCTGCCACTGTCTGCTGGCGGCGCGTCTCGACACCAGCCGACAGTACAAACACCACGAGGACATGATCAAAAACTACCTGACGTCGGCGCGGGCCCGATACGCCGAACTGGAGCGGGCGCGGCAACTCGACTGCGACTGCGCGCCGCGTGCCGAGCTGGGCCGCGCGCACGGCGTCGGCCGCTCCACCTTCTACGCCGGGCCCGACCCGGTCACCTACGCGCGCACGCGCGACATGCCGGCGGTGCGGCGTCCCGGTCAGCCGGACCCCACGCTCTACCTGAGCCGCTCCACATTTTACAACGACAGCGGGCCGCGACCGCCGCCCGACCAGTGACGACCGGCGCCCGTCCGTTGCCGCTCGGCCCGCGCCCGACAATCAAAAGAGGTGCGGCGGCGCGTCCGGTGCACGGCCGACCGGCTCCTCCGTGTTCACTTGGCGGGCTGACCGGTGTGGGGAGTGGTGCTCGTGTCCGCTGTGAGGCGACCCACTCATGCGGGGAATTACTCTGCGCTCCTCGGTAACCGACTTCCGCAGTGGCACCGCTGTCGTGGCTTTGATTTTCATAAAGTCACAGACTTTCTTAGATCTTATCGTATGGTGAAGTGCACCCATCTAGTCCGTCTTTGTAATGTGTTCTTTCCAGCCGCCATCAGGCTACGACTCATTATTATCCATGATATTCTGAATTCATTTTGTTCTCCGCGGCGCGGTTTGGTCCAACTGTCCTTACTGCGATTGTGATTATGGCAGGATAATTACTGTGTTCCTTTTGAAGGCTGCTCTGGGGTCATTCGGCCTGGCCCCAGCGGTGGCGGCCGCGCTGGCAGGTGATGCATGTCGGAGGGCCGATGCAGAGATCAGCAGACTGGCTGTGGCCGCCGCCGGGAGTGCCGGCTGCGGGGTAGTACGGCCTGACCCGTCCGTGGCAGCTCAGATGAGTCGACGGCCCACCAGGCCCGGCTGCTGCATTACCGCTGGCGGCCGGTCGGGGCCTCCCCAGAGCCCCGACAGTGTCATGCCCCTGCACCTGCGCGTCAGTGTGTTGGTCTCGGCCAGGCTGGCTGACGTCTTCCCATGCTACCGCTCCAGGCGGGTCATGCGTTAGGTCTAGTCGGCGGCTAGCGGTGTATTTCGCTCTGGCCTCGGCAATGAGCTTGTGCCGGCCGTCTTGCGTCACTCATGCGTTGGGATGTTTTTACGTGCTCCTAGCTTATCGCACCATATTGTGACGTGCCACGAATACATTTTTTTTTATTAGCTGTTTTCGTTATGCGGCCGCCTCCGACGGCTAAGCTGCGCTGGCGAATGCCCAGACATTGTTGGATTCTGGCGGACCAGCGCCCAGCGCGCCCCTGCGGCCGGCGCTCGTGGCGCCCTAGCACGCAGCGGTGCGTGAAGTGAACGGGGAACGGATCGTCACCGTAGCCCGCGAGTCACGAACGCGGGTGTCCTGCATTTCTATGTGGTTTTGAACTGAAATAGCCATGTTGAAGATCGTTCGGCGCAGTGTGCAGCCGTGTCCTTGAGACCTAAACGTCTGTAATTCCTGAGCTACACACCCACGAAGATGGGGAGTATTTCAAGGTCACCTTGACATTCATGACGTCATAATAACGTTATTCAAATCCTGGCACTCCGCAAGCCATCCGGTGACCAAGGCCAGAAAAAATGTATATATAATAGTCGAGTGATACATATCTGGCACTCGTGAACGCGATATCCAGATGCAGCGGCTATCACTTGGCTCTCAATATTGTGCGAGGTACGATGACGTGATCAAACAATGACGTATCGTGGAGCGTATGTGCTACGCTAAGAATTTGTGTTGTCTAGAGCAATCTTATACTTAAAAGTATACCACTGGTTATAAGTGAGTTGTTGCGTTATATATGATGTTTGATTCAACGTCTTCAAACGTGAAACATTCCCGACTTTATTTTCCCCGGCATCTGGTGGTAGAATCGGGGTAGTGAAGGTAGAATCTTTATTTTTGGTGTTGCGGTAGCTGCTCATCTGTCCAGGGGATAACCTCAGAGATTATAAAATATACGCCGAAAGAAAAAATGGTTCCGAATGTCTCAAAATTCATTTGTTACATTTAAGGGTTAAACGGCATATATATTTTACAACGTTGAGGTCGTCCTTTGGACAGAGTAACAGCTACGGTAACACGAAAAATAGAGATTTTTAGTGCTCCATATTCCAATACCACCAGATTCCAGCACCACTTCCCGGTACTGTAAAAACCAATCCGTTGAATTCATCGATCAAAATATCGCAGGTGAAATATACGCTCTGCCACCTAACTGCATGGTTTATTCTCCTAAAGTGAGCAAAGGTACTGCTTTCAAATGCGTCATCATTTTCGTCCAACCATTGACCACAACTTAACTTTACACGCAAAGCGGACGTTGCGCGGCCTATGAAGACTGCAACGCCTGGCACCGATGAGTTGTTTCTTAGATTTTCAAGCGCGCATGCTGAAAACCGCGTTACATGATTTGTATCACATCAGTTCAGGATGAATGTTGAACGCCTCTAGACAGCATGGCTTTACCATGTTACTAAAGACTGCTTACCCACTTCGATCTAGATTCGCGGAGGCCTCGGTATCTCCGTGCAGCCCAGATAAAGATTCTGACAAAGTTTATCATCTCGTTCCGTTTAGAATGTGTCCACTGGACCACTGTAAAATGAAGAGCGCCAGTGATTTACTTCTGTCGATTTCGCAGTATCTAATAGTTTCTTTTTTCAGTTATAGAAGGAATAATTTAAAAAAAATATATATCAAAGAAAAAATCATGTTATAATAAAAAATCACCTTCAAAATCACAAAACACCACGTTCGCTGACAACTTTGTTGTGAATGACCACTGAATCAGGTGAGCCCAGTTCTAACCGTGCTGAAAATACATGGCCAGTGTCTTTGCAACCCCAAAATTGTCCGTTATGTGAGTCCTTCTGATGACCAACACTGGCAACGGCATCGACGGATTCTTGTGAGAGACGCCCCTGATGCTCTTCCACGCGCCAGCTATGGATGTAAACCAGCTAATGCTGTTGATGTAAGCTTGCCATGGAAAGCGTTTCGCACCTCGCAATGTACGTCTCACTAACGCCCTCCCTTGCTTAAATGTCAGCATCCCTGCAATGCTCCGTTCACCAGAGCATCGGGACACGTGGAGGCTTACACGAAGTGAGTGGGATCGATGGCCTGGCGGCCGATAAGATGGTGACGTTAGCGCCGGTTATGAGCGCTCTCGCCATGTCAACATCCCCGGGTTTGAAATCGATGACACAAACAGCCTAAACTTTCCCCGGTCGACCCTCCGAAGGTTCCACTGAAGCGGTTTCATTTCCGGGTGAGGAATGCTCAGATGAAGTCAGATCAAATGGTGGTCGCTGCCACTCTGGCAATCATCTACGCACCAAGTAAACTGCACGGCTAGAGTTGGTGTGCATAGTGAAATTTCCGTGGCTGGGATACTACCAGATAGGGGTTTTATGTGCGTGTGATGACCTATGTTCAGAACGCAATGGCTGTTTCTATCTACACAGCCCCCAGATGCCTGCCTCTGGCGTTTGTATGGTACTGCCCCACACCCGCTTGTGCGAATTAAAGTCATCAACGCCGAGAAAGGTGGGGGACCGGTGAGAGGGACCGGGTGGCCTGCCGCGGCGCGCGCGCCATCACCCGTAAGTCCAGGAACCTAGGCCGGCCGCCTGTGCCAACTGTCTTCCCACGCGTGGACGTCGTATGAGAGTGACAGCAGACCGTTACTAAATAACCAGCACGAAAGGAACTGCCATTACTATGAGAAACGGCCCAAGACGGGCTCCCTCGTCGACCTGGATCCCCCAGAAGCCTGTGCTCGCTCAGTAGCGCGCTTATGACGGAGTACACCCAGCCGCCACCCGACGTGCCTCTAGCAGCAGCTTTCCGCACGTTGGACGTAGGAGCGGGACGGCGTACTGCCTCGAGCGGGCTTTCGTCCCTCACTTTGGGCTCTCCAGGGGCTGGCATTCGCTCAGGGGATAGGGCGGCGGCCGGGGCTGCCTGTCCAGCACTTGGGTGTTCCTCAGGAGCGATCAGCCTGGCATGACAGGTGAACTGGACAGGTGAACTGAACGGACAGGTGATGGCGCTCCTCCACGTTCACGGACGCACCAAGTGCCGAGTATGGGCGCGACCGCCGGCCATGTTGGACAACAGTTCATCCCTCCCCTGTGACAGACGTCTCCACTGTCTGGGTCAACTCCACCATGCGTCAAGCAGGGGAGTGCTCATGCATGCTCCGAGTACTTAAGCCGCTCCTGATGGAACCCAGGCGCGTGATACTGCTTCTTTTTAACAAAAGCTAGTGCCATTTTTCCGCAAAACGAAAAATTTGGCTCCTGTCAACTTGCTCAGGGTGTCAGCAATACTGCATATACGAGCTCCGTTTATTTTAGAGGTTGTGGCTACCGTAACTTATGTCTTGTCGGGGTGCGTATTATTATGCATAGCGCGGGCTTCGGAAAAACGACAGACATTGGGCCACTTTCATCACGACAACCTCCTTCTCTTTCACCCAATCCTGGCAGCAGCGAGAGGCCGCCTGGTGGTGACCGGTGCGGTTCAGGCGCTGACGCTGGTCTGGCTTGTAGTACCTGGCAGTGTGGTCTGGAGATGAGCAACATCTGCATGGAACGAATTCGGTACGTGCATGCGAACACGCAAACGTTGCCCTCTGTCTCCTACCCCTATAATTTCAGTGGTGCTGAGCACATCAAAAGTGAGAACACTTTTTTATGTCACTGTTCTTCTCGTTTTCGGCGAGTAAAGATCCATCTCGTTCAGGAGTCACGTCTCTTGGCTCACTGGCCATTGAAATTGAAACACGTTGTGGTGTCTTCCGGTCAAGTCGAAGTCAAACGGCCGGTCTGTTGGAGAAACCGCGCGCCAGTTCCCTGCGACGGAACCAGCGGTGGTCTTGTTTGTGAAGTGGCGATCCATACGTAGCTTTTGGATTCAGCGCGCAGGCTCCCCACCCACCAGATCGGAGCCTGATACAGCGACAACACACTGGGCAACTACCGTGCCGCGAAGAACACCAGGCGCCGTGCGTGGGCCAGTGGGCCATGAGCGTTGCTACTGGAGCCATCGGAAGCGTGAGTCTGCGGGAGCCGATATCTGATCGGCTTACGGAGAGCTTACCAGGCGCCTGCCGTGGGTAGGCCGGAGTCCGCCCCACGCCTAGGTGTGAGGGCAGACGCTACGTCCGACAGCTCGCCCTCGACACCCGCCGCGGGACCCGCTTGACTCAAGTCAGTGCGGCAGAAATAGGACGCCTGACCGGCCGGCTCCGTCGTGGCGAGTCGCCACGAGATATCCGCAGGATCACAAATTTGGACCTAAGGCATGTGTTGGGAGAATGTCCCGACTGACCCGCAGGGAACCCCCTCAATGACCAGGAACCTTGCTTTGCCCCCGGCAATCTGACGGGCATGGCAAAACCCAGGTAAAACTGGAAAACCGGGGCCAAGAGGTCATGAATTCTTACCCTGACCAGAGTCGGAGCCCTTGTGGGAGGCACCTTCAGTCTGGCGCCTCCCCTTGGCCGGAAGGAGCTCTTTAGAAGCCTACTTAACCGGCCGCAGGATCATTGGGGCGCTGAATCCCGTCGCCACGGAAAGGTCCTCACGCGGAACTGGGCGAGTGGCAGCATGTGCCTTTGATAACACCGCTTCAGTGTCATTGCCCGACACCGAAACATCAGGCTCGACCGCCGCGGCTATTTGTTTAATGGGACCCTCTCTAGTGGTATCACTGAATGCAGACGGTCATTCGGTGTGCGGTGCATACATTACGGTAGCGTTTTAAGAATACTTAAATTACACACAGAGAGTGGAAACGTGTGCATACCATAGAAATTGCTAACTCTGAGCTATTGTACAACACACAAAAATCAGTCCAACCGCCCGTTCCTTTGATATGACCTCTATTCAATGTCTCATTGAAAGCAAGCGGCCGCTCGGCACGTGGTGCATGAATCACGGCGGTGTGTTTGTCGCGCGGAGAGTGA